CTGAGAGGTAACGTCCCGCACATCACACCTGTGTGGGTGTTTTTTAATCCTTTCTTATTCTTCCTTTATTACGGCCCACACACCCATATCTTTTTCGAAGCCCAACAAACCTTCAAAAAGGATCCAGTAGCGACATAAGGTATCGTTGCCATTCTGTCCCAAAAACGACTTCAATCAGTAGATTCTATTCTTGGAGTAATTTTTCGGAGGCGTACTCAACCTACAAAAAAGTCTCACGTGCAAATCGGAAGAGCAGTACAAATCATATGAAATATGCGCGATCTTGGTTTGTTCCCTTTTTCTTTACCGTTTTTCATGTGCACAAAACAAAAAAATGATAAAAAAGGCTTTGGCGGCGTTTCGCAACGATCAGTTGGTCGTAAACGACTGCATGAACTTTTGCTACACATTCCGGACCGCATGACACACATGGTGTGTCACACTTGTCTGCTCCCTGTGGCCGCGTGACACACATGGTGTGTCATGATCTTCAGAGGCTAAAATTTTCTTATATTTTGACTGTTGCACGAACTCTCTCAGTTGTTATATATCCTTGTAGGGGTACGAATTCCTCTGTATGGTTGGGCCATGAGAGTTTATTTGTAAAATATTTTTTTGAAGTATGACCGACTCACAAGACCATCATGCTATATAAATGCATCGCACATGAAACAGTTAGCTGATAGACTGATCTACTGGGGCTAGTCACTGTCCCGATCATCATTTTAGCACACTCTTATAGCGTCCACTTAATTTGGCGCCACTGGGCGCCAGTTTGGCGCCGCGACCTTTTGCACCATATCCAATCGTGGAAACATGCGTTTGAGGGATGATCAGGGTTTCTCTCACAGAACTGAGATACATTCTTGAAGCCGGCGCTATTTGACGCAGTTTGGCGCCAGTTTGGCGTTATGACATCTTTCACGGAAATCGACATAGATATGCATTTGGAGGTTAGCGGGGTCTCTGATTAGTATCTCCAACGGTGACTTCACGCGACACCACAACACGCCAGTTTAGCGCTATGACATTCTTCGTCGAAAAATGTAAGCTTACGAACTAGGATAAATGCATACATAAGTATTCGTGTTTCGTTCCATTGAAATCAAAAATGATCGTGGCGCCAAATTGGCGCCCAGTGGCGCCAAATGGCGCCAGCGCTAAAAATGAATGTCATATTCGTGTTCGCGATCCCTGAATACCCCTAAATGCAAAGTCACATCAATTTCGTCAAAAGTGATCGTGGCGCCAAATGGCGCCAGCGCCAAAAATGAATGTCATATTCGTAATTGGCATGTGAAAGAACCCCAAATGCAAATTTTCCGTGTGAAGTAACCAAGGAGAAAGAATCGCGTCTAAAACCTGCCCCGTGTGGCCACATGACACACCATGTGTGTCACGCCAGCCTCGCATCGAAAAAGGCCGCGGTCACACGTGAATGCCACGCGAAATAGGCGTCGGTCCGGAATGTGCTATGGTCCTGCTCCGAAAGCGTGGTGATGAGAAGGAGGAGCGGTCACAGGTTAGGAGCAGCGGCGAGCATCGAACGGTGCCAAAGAATATGTGTGAACCCGGGTTCAGTTTCGTCAAGAAACAGCGCCACAGATGGGTAAGCCACGTACCATGTGTGTCGTAACATGCGAGGCCACAGAGGTCATGGAGCGCAGTGCAGAATAGAGATTAGTGGAGAAAGTTCAGAGTCGGGATCAGTACTTACACAATTTCATCCGCTCGGCTGAAGTTC